TCGGTTTTTCTAATATGATATAAAATTCAATTTTTTCAATAAACAAAGAATAAACTTGATCAGTGAAATACCTTCCATTCTATTCGATGACCTTCTGCCCATCTTCCTGGTAATCTCATGATTTCGCGATCGTAGAATCTCTGGTCTTTATCAACAAAAATCTAAGTGCAGTTTAAGGTCATAGTTATTACTAAAATTTTTACCATTAAATAAGTTTGGTAAACTTTGAAATAAGAGATAATCCAATGGTGTAAGGTCAGGCCTATATGGGGGATGAGACATCCCTTCCCAATAAAGTCTCAATAATTTCTTTTGTTAAAGATGTGTAAGGTCTTGCATTGTCGTGGTGCAACGTGATTCCTTTGCGATTTGCCAATTCTGGCATTTTCTCTTTGATTGCTTCCTCAAATATCCTAAGCAGGTGGCAGTAACATCTGACTTGATCTTTTGGTTGCCTGGAAGCCGCTAAAAATACGCAACACCTTTGTAATCCCAGCAAACTGACAACATATTCTTTTTCTGATGCTGTTTAACTTTCAATATAATTTGGGCTGATTCATCATGCTTGGACCGTGATATTTTTCGATTAATGTTATTGCAGAAGATCCATTTTTCATCGCCAGTTTTGAATCGTTTCAAAAAAGGATCGATTGCATTACGTTTGAAATATATATAGAAAATATGGAGTCATTATGTTAAGTGAATTTCTTTCAATTCGTGTGGAACCCAAATATCGAGTTTCTTAGCGAGTCCAAGATATTTTATGTGCACAAACCTGAAAGTTTCCTTTCGATTTCTCTTTTCAAAAATACACTGAAGTTGGTGCACCAAGTGACTTAACTCATTAATCTTTTAAGAGCTTCAAATATTAATAAATAGCGGCCTCGTTAGGCCTAGCACCACTTAAACATTTAAATTGTTGGTAATTCTACAACTATTGCATGCAGATCAACTAAAGACATAAAAAACCACATGCACAATTTACCAACATATAAGAATAAAAAAATCAGCTCACCGAGCCAGGTAACAGAGCGGGAAAGTATATTTTATCGGTTTATTTTTTTGGAAAATATTGCTCCTATTCTTCAGTTCTAATCAGGAGTACAGTTTCATGATTGCAGATTACTCTAAAAGTTAAAATGCCAAGTTATAGAGATGTAATTATTTTCAAATTTCTGCTAATCTTTTAAGATAAAAATTCAAAATTATTATCCTATGAGAAAAATGTAAATTTCTTGTTAGAAATTTAAATTTAAAATATTCATGATATCATGCGAACTTCGGATACTTAATGAGAAGTCGATGGAACCAATACAAAAACTGTGCTCCGTATATATAGTCAAATAGATAATAAATATTATAGATTATTTCAAATAGATTGGTAAAGCAGCTTATAATTAGTGCTACTTTACCAATCAAGAGTCTTTATGTATGCATGTTCATCCCATTATGTAAAAACGATGTTTCCTAGAGCCACTAAATTTTGGAAACACGCGGGCTTTCTCCGGAACATGTGTACCTTCGAACCTATATTTTAAATTTCGAATTTCGCTTACTTAATTATTTCATATTTTGTGCGAATTCAATAAGCTTTTGGTGTAAAAACTAAGCGATGTAAAAGCAGTGTTTTGCTCGTTGCCAAAACGTTAGATATTAATGTTTCAAATTTAATCCAAAAAGTGTGTGATTTGAAGCCTCTCGGTAAAGCACAAATGTCGCTGCCCAGAATAATATATTTTTATTTTTCACGTGCCAGCGATTTGCCATTTTAGAAGATGTAAGATATTTAATTTATTTTCCTTCAAATTTAATTTCTCAGTTATTGATTAATTAGCGGAAGTATCCGATGCCAGTTAAGTTAGTTTGAGAGTACTGCATCTAACAACAGAGAGAACGATACCGCAGTAATCCTTCTCTAATAACGATGCAAAAAATACGATTCATAGTCATGCACTTTTCACTCTGATGCGATATGGAACCCACATAAAAGATTTCGATAAAAAATAAGCTAATTCTCTCGCATATCAGAAACAATGGTTTAATTAACCGATTTTAATGATTTTCGTCTTTCTAATCATATGGTCGAAAAGGCTCAAGTTCCATCCAATATTCAACCTATTCAATTATAAGTATTCAACCTATAAGTATATTCAATTTTAGTCGATTGAATGTGGCAAAAAATTAATCATAATTGATCAGAAATCAATAACGCAAACAAAAAAAAAAAAAAAAAAAAAAAAAAAAAAAAAAAAACAGACATTCATCTTTCTATTGTTACGTGCGTACCGGTTCGTAATAAATTGAATGCACAAGTGCGATGAAAAGTGAATAAAATTTATTCTTATCGCAGCAAATAAAACGAAATGCTAAAATTTCTTCAGAGATATTCGTACACTATTGCAATATCTCAGAGTAGTTATCTTTTAAACAACTAAAACGCTTTTTTTACACAACGCAGTTCAAAACAGAAAAAGCTCATCCGATCACCGCGAATTCGCTACAATCAACGATAAGAAATAAGTAAACAACAGAACTGAGATAAGCTTTTAAAGCCTGCACGAGAATATATCAAATAATTTGTGACAATTATTTGGTATTTTTTTAATATTTACAGGAAATTTTTGATTTTACTGGTTTAAATCTGATTTCTTTCATGTCTTTGTGAATGTGATTCTAAATTTGTTACTTTTTGTTTATATATCTATATAAACAATTATATATAAAAAATAATTTAGAACCAAATCCGTAAAGACACGAAAGAAATAAAAAATTTGTGACTGTAATAAAAGTATATATATAATAAAAAAATTTTCAGTATAAAGACTGTTGAGGACTTAACTTGTGTTTTAAGTAAATTTTTGATTCCTTGAGAATGTGTGTAATCAATTTTGAAAAAAAAAAAAAAAAAAAAAAAAAAAAGTGATGGTATTTATTTATATTATTAATTTTTGTAATGTTTTAACCTTTTTGCCCTCATAGTCAAGAAAGACGATTATGTATTCAGAACTTCTCAATTATTCATTTTTAATATTTTAAATAATTACCGCCTGACGAGTCTGTTTGAAGCATTAAAGTATGAATAATTAATTTCCAGATTTTAAGTGTTTAATTAAACTTTCTTTTTTTAATTTTATTTTTTATTATGTAGAAATGCTTAACATAGCTGTAATTCTTTCTTTATCTAATACTACAATGAAAATGTTTCTTCAACTTTCCAGGATAGTATAATCTTTATGGTATTTTTAGACTAAAGGGACAATTTGCCGAGAAGAACTATTAATTTCGTTTTGGCATTTTGCGTTCACTCACCTGTGTTGCCAGAAAATTATCAACTAAAGTAGCAAAAGAAGACTAAAAAATGTCGCAAATGACCTCAGAGATCACATGATTTTTGTGACGTCATAGTTCCTCGTGCTCATATGAACTCTGACGTCCTTACAAAGTTCTGTAAGTTACAGACGGTATTCGATACTCAGTCGTTTTAATTACGTATCTTAGCTTTAACGAAAATTTTAAAACCCTATTGCCTATTTTTAATTGTTTAAAATAGCCATTCCTTTTGTAATTAATTCTCATTTAATTTAGATTTCTGTTTTTAAATTAATTTGTAAGATATTCCCCGCGTTCGGATTGTTAGCGTCTTTTGTACTAAATTTTTTTAGTTGGCAGTTTATTTTTTAATCCAGTGGTTTCCCCCCCCCCATTAATTGGGAACATTTTAACTGAGGAATGCTTTTTAGTGAGTTTTCCGCTCTGGGTGGTGGACTTATTTCAGATTTTGATTACTTAAGAAAACCTTGTTTGTTTTCTCACCGCTAAATTTATTTGCGTTGTTATTTAGAAAACTGCAGTTGCTTTGATTTTGAGTCATTTCTATTCCTTAGTTTTCAGCAATATTATAAATTAGGAGGATGAATTTTATTTCTTTCTCTGGTTTGGATACCCAATATATGATTCGCAAGCTGCAAGTCCTTTTGCTCGATTTGTTATTGCAATAGAACTGAGAAGGAAGTACTGTCTTAAAAGAAAATTTGTAAAGCACTGAAATCATGAATATTAGTATTAAGGTACATAGTTCTGTGTTTTTACAAAGCATTTTCCGATATATTAAAAACACCTTTGAAGTCGCAAAAAGTAGCGTAAGGAAATGATGGAGGGCGCAAAAATTTCGCAAAATCGCAAATGCTAAAAATTTAGTAGTACAAGTTTGTCAAATGTCGCAAATTTTCGCAAAATCACACGATCTGGCAACACTGTTACTCACGAGAAGCGTTGTTTCACTTTTCAAATTGTTGCCACCAAATATTATCACCCTGTATTATATTTAAATAAATTAAATAATGAAGAATCTGCATAAATGTATGTATGTTTCTCGCATAGGGATAAAACAACGGTACCTAGAATCATCCAGTTTTGAATAACAAAATCCTCTACCGAATATGGGCATTTGAAGGCCAAATTTGAAATTTGGAATATGTTTTATTAACGATTTCATATTTTGTAACACTTTAAAGAATATTTGATTAACAAACTCAAGGATTTCAAAGCGAGCCATGGCAACGCTGTACAGAAAAAACATTTTTATCTCCAGCGTGCGAGTCTCTGTATCGGAAATTCTAAAGATATACTCATTTTTAAATTTTTAAATTTTGCAATATTACTGTTGAATTGAATTTTATGGTTTAGTGCGAAGAACATGATATTTAATAAATAAAAAGCAGCACACAAAACGTTAAAAAAACGCCTCTTTAGGCGTAAAGTAAAATCTGAAAGTTTTCAAATTTTTTTTTAATTTTTTTCTAATGGAAATTTCTAATGGTTTTGGAATGCAACTTATTGAAAACTATTCCCTTAGAAAATAGAAAAAAATTCTCATTTTACTAAGCAAGATAAATTTATGCATTTCGTTGGGAATAATGAAAATTATCTTTCTGTTTATTTCATTATATTTAACTTGCTACTGTTGCATCAGCTTTGCATCTAGAAGAGTTGGAAGATCCCTATTTTAACCACAAAGCTTGAAAAATAGGGATTTGGCTCGAAACTGCTCTTGTTCCTATAAGGGAAGATCTTAAACAGAGATAGGGAAAAATAGAGTCTCTTTCTATTCCCTGTTTGGCAATACAGAACTGCAAGAGATGACAACAGCGATAAAATCAAACCAGATGGCCAATCCCTGTTCATTGTTATCGGCAGGTTAATGTTATCACTTTCTTATCCCTTTCCAATCTGTAACCAGGCGCAGAATAAACTTGGCACTCAGAGGCTACTGGGGGAGGGTTCGATAGAGAACCAATATAAGCCTTCTCGAGTTTCCTGATCTAATATTGAATAGCAGGTTATGCGTATTCAGCTATGGTAAAGACTTTGAAGAGATACTATACATTCTTTTTGTCGACTAAATAATTTTGTTTTTAACTAGTTATTAGTTTGTTAATCAATAACACTCAGATTAAATTTAAAAAAAAAATTAAAAAATTGAATATCTTAAATTTCGTTAAATGGCAACATACTGGCGAATGAAAGATAAAAATATTTTCTATCGGACAGAGGCAACCTATTTATTATAAATCGCTAAATTATTTTATTAAATTTTAAAAAAATATTTTACGCTTTAGCGAGCCAGTTTCTTTTAAACCCATGTTCGGGTAGAGGAGCACGCATGTTCAAAATTCGATAGCTCTAGGTGTCGGCGTTTTTTGCATACATATATTTTTTATTACTTAATCGTGGTGACGTTTTGGTGCATTTGGTTATAGCAAAGTACTCGATATGTGCCTAGAGAGGTATGCCTTCGGGGAAGACTTCCAAAGGCAAACTGACTCGTACACACGTTATACAGGGCAAAAACCGAGAAAATGCCTTCCCGTACAGCCAGCCCGTACGCGGGATTCGAACCTCGGACTGAACTATACCAGTATTTAATCATGAAATGAAGAAACATATTAAATGCGTCATAGGGCTAATTAAACTTAAGAATACGTTTATTGTAGTACAGGTTTTTGTTTAGGATTAGCCATGTTGTTAATATTACAAAGTTCAACTAGAAGTTTCAGGAAGAAACGAAAACATCTCCGTAGTTCTCACTTAGTAAAACACTAATGTATAATGGAGAGCAAAAATTCTAAATGGAAGAAAGAAAAAACAATGTAAAATTTAAAATTCAGTGATAAAGCAATTTTTTCTTACGCAAATTTATCTATGCATATAAAAGGAAGAGTCTGTGTGTGTGTGTCTTTCGTTTGTGCTACGCGTAAGCTAATAGGCACAGGGTTACGAAATTTGGTACATAGGGTACATCTAGACAAGAGCCAGTGCACCTAAGCGCTTTTTTTTTTTTTTTTTTAATTCGAATGAGATATTTTCTTATTTTATTTTCCTGATGAAAATCTACAATTCTCTCTTATTATATCAGCAACAAGGGCACAGAGCCATTGTTGCTGATATCAGCATTGCTGCCACTCGGAAAAATGAGGACGATGATTCTGTGTAGTTTTTAAATTTAATGTTTCTCTTGGATACTGGATGTTTGTCAAAACAAGGCAACAGGAAGTTGGTTGATTTAATTATTAGGATGATTAATTTTTGTATTAACGGATATTGTTTATTTCATTAAAAATTTTTATATGTAATAAATTTTTATTGAAATTTGTATTTTTTTTTTTTTTTTTTAGTCCAAAGGGGCAATTTGCCCAGAAGACTATTAATTTCGTTTTGGTATTTTGCGTTGATTCACCACAAGTGCCGTTTTACTTTTCAAATTGTTGCCATCCAATATTATCGCCCTGTATCATATTTAATCCTGAAGATTTCTTGAAAGGCCTTCAGTTTCCCTGGAAAACATTTGTCTAGCTAAATGCATGTTTGACTTTTATCTCTAGGATTTTATATATGACAAATGTAATGCGAATTTAAGTGGATATTTCGCATCTCTTGCCTTGATGAAAAAGGTTTTGCATTATAAAGATAACTGAGAGTTTCGGTGGTGACTTCCTTTTGTAAAAAAGCTTGCTTAACGGGTATCGCTTGCTACCTCAGACATTAAATCGTCTATAATAATTAAAGCATTTTTGGAGATTTAGAGAAGGCAGTCCTTCTTCAAATTTTATTTTTTTTATTGAATTAAAAAGCGGTTGATAACTTCCATAGCAATAAACTATATTTAACGGCATAGGATCAAACATTTGGTGGTATCAATTTCTTAACAAAAACAGTTTTCCTGAACCCGTAGGACCGCTGATGAGACAAGTAGAAGGATGGACTAACTTAGGCAGTTCCATCTTTGAATGATAACTTAAATAAATGTTTTGATATTTATTACTTTGCACAAAATCTGCTGCTTTAATTGTCTCAGTGTTCGCTGTTATGATTCTTGTGAATTGCCTAAAACACTTTATAGAAGCCTTATACATAAATATTTTACGTACTAAAAGGTGTGGTCCCTTTTTCTTTTATCCAAAGCTCGATAAACGAAAAGGGAAATGGGCTCAATGAAAAAAAAAATGAAAATGAAATATATATATATAATATATAAAAGGGAGAGAAACACACTACACATAATTCTTTAAAAAAAAAAAAAACAAAAAATGGTTTTATTTTCTAAAAAAGCATGTTTACACCATATCGTTTTTTGACAAACTGAAATATACGAAAATCATTTTTCCTTCGGCTAACTGCGCGCTACAATTACTTTCATACAGAAGCCTTGACATCGTTTTATAATGAAATAAATACAATATTGTCCACATACATTAGAAGTCAGACTTTGAAAAGCAGAAGTCTTGTTACAATGAACATTATGATATTTCTTGACAAATTTGGTTATATCTTCTCCATATGCTTCAAGGGGGAAGTCCATAAGAATAAAAAATTCGAGAGTTTGCTTGTTTTATAACATAGACAGCAAGCCAGTGAGTGCCTTCTTTATCATGCTTATCAGTGTTTAGCACCAAAGCGCAAGGAAAATTTTCAATTGCAGGTATTTTGTCACAAGGAAAAACACCCCCATAACACCTCAAAGAAACAGGATCTCGAGATAAGATTTGATGAATCTCTGATGAATTCATCAGTTTCCAAAGTCATACAGAATATTTCGAGCTTTATTAATTTCAATTAAATTTTCAAATTCAGCATACACTATTAAAGAAACTGTTTGCTGTAAGGGAGTGGCAAATTTTATTTTCTAATCTTAAAGTTGCTATGTCGAACAAGATTTAAAATAAGGAACCATCACACAAGTCGGGTGACAAATCAAAGCGAAATAATGAATATCCCTCTGAAAATTCTGATCGCGAAAGATAAAGACCCTTGTCTTCCGCATTTATAAATAAATTGTGATAAAGCTCGTATAAATTGATTTTTACCAAAATTAGGTTGAAGTGGATTATGAGGTACAGGTTGACCGTCCACATAAACTCCAATAAAGTTAATATTATAATGCTTAAACTCGAAAGGAGACTTTTTATAGCTTCCGTTAAATGCATCGTTGTCAATACATGCCACTACAATACGATTAGGCATTTGACCTACGAAAATATTGTCTTGAACAAAGCTCATGTTTCCTGTGGGAATGGAATACGCTTTGCAGAGCACTCTGTTAATGGGATATTTGGCTGTTGATTTTTCTAAGGCTTTTGCATGCCCTAGAACCACACCAGGACTGACTCTCACTTTTCTCACAAATAAAGAGGCATTTTCAAGCAGAACTTTATATTCGCCAGCACCCAGTAAACAAAATTCAGGCTTGCTGCGTATGAGTTTAATTTTCATATCCACCATATTCAATAAGAGCTTTTCTTGATGAAACATATCCAAATGTAGCCGCCCAATCATATCGACCGAGGCACTCAGTTTAAACATTTCAGCTCTTTGGATGAATCCTTCATTAGGCTGAGAATCTTTATGATCAAAAACATTCATTCGACCTGCTGTATCTTTTAAAAAAACATTTCTGATGAAAGCTGAGAAGTTTTTGTATCAAAACCATGTTAAGTAATTTTTCAATCATTGCCCTGTAAGGGTAAGTATTATTACTCGAGGACACGAGTCTTTCATTTAAACTGATATCCACTTGAGAAAACGTAGAATGTAAAAATAGATTGACCGGTCCCACTTTACTTTCAGCTGTGAGAGGCTTGCCATCACTTTTTAAAATTTTTACTTTCACATATAGTTGAGTCTGTGATAAATCAAGGTATTCATCTCCGCTTCCAGAAACATTGAATTCTACAGGACATCCTTCTGACACATTGGCTAGAGGATGAAATTCAACTCACTAACCTCTTTCGATAATAGTTTGCGTTGGAGGTAATGAAAATAGATCCAATTCAGATTTTACGCATTCCAGAGAATCTTTTAACAGAAAAGCCATTACGAGTTAAAACTGTCGCGTCGTTGCCGTTTCCTGGCTTTAGACGAAGTGAAGCATTTCGAGGTTTTGCATTTCCTTTTAAACCTTCCGCGACCGATCATCTCGTTTGTTTTCTGAGCTGCTTTTTTGGCTAAATTTTTTCTAGCTTCCTTAGATCTTGTTTTCAAGGATGCTTTAAAATTTTCGCCTGATAGCACATCGTTTGCAACCATAGTTCCAGTCCGTAAAGCTTCTTTTCCAACAGTTTTTAGCTCCACTAATCAAAAAAGGCATAGCGCTACGAAATAGTTTTGCAAAAAATCCTCCAGTACCATATCCTTTCTGTAAAATAGTTCCTCTGTAATAAGGTAGTCCATTTCCGGCTTGTCCTTCATAATAATCTTCAAATTTTTTCGTACAACACGTGTAAGACTTCATTTTGATACTTCTACTTTTGAGTATATAATCAAAATGAAATCACTTTTAAAATGGGTGCTTCTTTTATAGAATTTGTCTCAGGCGAAAATGTAATACAAGGTAAACTTTTCCTCTCTCAAACGGTACTAAATCTCCGGAATGAAGTCTTATATCAATATGTATAGTCTGAAAGTGTTGTCTGATGACTGGTAAGTAAAAGGGTCTGGGATAATGAGCGTTTATGATATCACCATCATTTCCTTCTACGGTGACAATTTTTAATAATGGAGCTTGCACATCTCCTACGATTTGAGGCTCTACTAGATCACAATACACATACATGACAGGAAAAAGAGACTTTTGGATTGGCTACGAAAGGACTTTCTACAATTTCTCTGTAAACACCGGGTTCGAATCCTAAAAGCTCAGCTAATCCTTCATGAAGAAGGACTTTAGAATGTTCGTCTGTCTTAATTGTAACCTTTTTTCGTGACAGGATGATAATTAAATTCAATTTTATTTTCATGTGATGGTATTTTTAAAGCTTTTAATAAAATCTGTACCTTTTCATAAC